ATACTAACATTCCGTTTGGTGCTAAACTGCTCTAGATTAAGAAAGACTAAGTGCGGGTTGTGCTTAGTAGGTCGGAAATGGGGTAGTTAACCCTATATTTCGATTTAATTGAGTAATAAAATGATTGCATTCTAGGAAAAAAACACTAGTTAACACATTACATTATTTAATAATTGGCACTGATGATTTCGTTCGTCAATTGTTGATTGTTAGCACCTCGAACAATCAGTTCCTGAATTCTACAATTTCATTTTTAATTTATAAATGAGTGTTAATTTATAAAAATTATAAAACTTACGCTTGAAAACATGAAGAAGCCTGGTAATTCCAACTCGTCCAACAACGACGAAAGGACACTTTCTTTTATCGCCATTTTTCCATTACGAATACGACAAGAAATTGTTCATACCATGAAATGAAATCACGAAAAACTTACTTGAATTTCACTTAACCTTTACCAGCATGACATGTGGACTGGTCCAGTGAATCCAGTGGAATTTATTACCATGTCATTGCATTTTATGTGCGGCACGTGAACCTTATTGAATTCCTATTTTGAAGAGGTTACCTGAATTACCTTTACCGTTGGTTCAATGTATGATGTCAAAACATGGTCTAGGAAAATTTTCAAGCTCTCGACATTTGTTCAAAATCTTTGACACCCGGTAGCTTTAGTATTTGTCCAAACATCGAGAAAAAAATCATGTCACAGATTCTTGAGTTCCTTTTTAAGTCCATTAAATTGTATTGTATTTTTCCATACTAAAAAAATAATCCTAAAATGTATTCCTAAATCTCTAATTTTTCACGATCGAGATTTTAAGTCCTAGACGCATTCAATTTTGTTTTATGTCCGTGATCATTCTATCTGGGAAAATTTTCCTCGTGCCATAATAATGAGATTTTTTCTTAAACTGTGATCTAGAAAAGTTGTCTAGATCACAGAGTTATGATTCTTTTTCTATGTGTTATGTGAGGTGTTACAGAAGATTCTATTCTTGGGAGGAATGAAAAATACCCAGTTCGTTATAGCGACTACAAAGAAGAGAAGGATCTTTTATTAATATACTCATGGCTAACTTAGATCTATATACATTTAATTCTAGACTGCTGTTCTTCATGTTGCTAAATGCATCGGAAGGATATGTATGATCCTAGATCTTCAAAAATTGATGTCCTAAAATTGTAAAAAAAATTCTAAAATCGGTACTTTGAACATTTTTCTCTGTGCCTCAATTTCGCAATCTAATAACAAATTCGTGATCTGCAGAGTGAGGAAATGAAGGTTAGAATTGGACTGTGCTCTTGCTTATTCAATTCATACTTATTTTTTTTCATAACAAATTTATGTGATCCTTAAATCAAACTCAAATTTGTTTTATTGTTAAAAAGTATGAAAAATACCGGAACTGATCCATATCTTTACGATCAATAAATGTCACTACTGGTCACCTTTTTAATGGTTTAAAGATCACTATTTGGTCACTACTTTCGTGATTTTAGTCACTAAAGTCACTACTATTACATCGCATACCCACTACCAGCCCTGCACTTGATGGAATGCCTGTTTAATGTCCAGAGTTGTGAAGAATTTCGCGTTTCGGAATCTTGGAAAGAAGTCATCGATGATTGGAAGTGGGTGATTCAATCTTTGAATAGCAAGGTTAGTTCTGCGCATATCTACACAAAGTGGAAGCTCCCCGTTTTCCTTGAGAATCGGTACAAGAGGGGATACCCAAGACGTAGGGCGTATCACTTTCTCTATTATACCAAGATCCAGGAGTTCATCCAATTTTGACTTAAGCTTTTGGAGTAGTGGAATAGGACATCGCCGCAACGGTTGTATGATTGGTGGAACACTTCTATCCACAGGAAGGCTCAGTTTGATTCCTTTCATCTTAGGAAACGGTTTCTTTGATGTGTCTACACGACCAATCGAGTCATGTTGCGCACTAGGTAAGCCGATTCCCAATACCCCTAGTTGTTGCGCAGTAATTTTTCCCAAAAGGGGCTGTGTCCCTTCTCAATTATGTAAAAAGATGTCTCAGTTTTCAATATTTGCCCACCATCAACAACTTCCAAGGCTGCATCAAAAGCCGTCACAAGCTTTAATTAATTTTTCCATAGGCCAGAAACTATTTATTACTATCAGATCTTTGATTAGTCACTTTTACGTCTCTTAGTTTCATCAGTTCCCAAGTGGTGTCGTCTATCAAATTGTGTTTGGAGCCAGAATCAATTAACATGACCGCATCTACATCACCAACGCGGCATGTAATCAGCTCATCGTCTCCTTCACCCACATTGTAAACAAGCAGATATTCATGTTCTGTTGGCTCCTGTTCATGTTCTTCGACATTGAAAACATTTCGATGTCGTTTACTGGAGTACGAAGAATCTTGGAAATTAACGAAAGGTGATTTTGGCTTTCCAAAAGCAACCTAGACAAATTCATTGTATTTATTATACTTCTCAAGCAGTTACCACATTTTTTCATACCTGGCTGGTCATCGGTTTTGAACTCAACCTACAAACTGACTGAAAGTAACCTGTCTTTTGACATTTTAAACATTTTAAAATATTTCGTCCAGGAAAAAAAAAATAAAAAAAATATATGAAAATGATAATTCTGCACACTAAGTTTTTTCTACCGAGCTCGGCTGTGCAAATCTCGGCAAAAAAAATTTACTGAGATCTCAGTAAACATTTCATTTGTTTGCTGAGATTCAGATAAGCATTATCCGAGACTCAGCAATCAAATGTCACTTTTGCTGAGATCTCATGTCGTTTTCGTTTTTGCGGTGTAGCTACACCGGTGCTACACTGCCGAACACCGAAAAAATTTAGGGTGTAGCTATCGGTTGCACCTTTGTTTACAAACAAATGATGATGAACTGTCAATGACTCGCACTTATTGCTGCTTACACGGTAAGAAAAAATACTCAAAATTAAGTTAAAAAAAACTCAACGTTGGGTTCTATCATTTGAGGTCCGCCGTTGAGTGAATCAGAAAAGCGGCGTTGGTTAAAATTTACTCAACTATTGAGTAATAATAAATTAACTCAAATATAAGTTTATTTTGATTGAGGTTGCTTTTATGCGCCTTTAACCATTTAATCTTCACAAGCGTTGATAGACGAGTGGTCAACACACGGGCCCCGTAATCTCAACGTCCATGGTTCGGTTCCAGTCTGCCCCGCTTTATTATTTTTTTGTCAACTTGGTCAACGCCAGGATTACTCAAAATTGAGTTTTCTTCTTTAACTTAATTTTACCTAGCCCCACGGAAGCCACGTGATGAGTGAAAGGAACTCAATTTTGGGTACTTTTTTCTTACCGTGTACACTACACCGGTGTAGTGTAGTAAAAACGAAAACGACATCAGTGAACCTTATTTTTACCGAGATTTGCACAGCCGAGCTCGGTAAAAAAAAAGTGTGTGTATTCAGCTGCTGATACCTTTCGCCATATAGGCTATTACCAGACAACATATCAAGAAGACTGGCAACTTTGTCTGAATTCAAGCGACAGACACAGAAGCGACAGACACAGAAGCGTCGCGCTCGAGCGAAGGTGGAAGCAACGCATAGAAAAATGAGCAAATACACAAACCTTTATTCTGAGGATGGAACCTTTGCTATCCAATTCGTTCGGAGCATTTACCTTTGAGCGACAGATGACGCGATTCTGTCTGTCTCATATCGGACGTAAGGGAAATTGGAAGAGTTTCCAGTCTGGTTGGTATGTTGTCTTCGCTATTACGTAGCTGCAAAAATTTAAAATTTAATTTTAAACATTGATGTCACATGTCTTTTAACATAAAATACATTTGAAATCAACCTGAGTTTACGTTTATATTTACCTCAAATATTTTAATTTCGGTGATAGTTTTCTCTTTGTGATTTTTCTAGCGCTTTTCTCAAAACACAGTTTTACATAAAAAAATAACTAAAAACCTTCTGCAAAGGAACGGGTTACAACTGCAAACACTAGTTTTAACGTTCTCAATAGGGAAAAGAATTTGTCGAACGTTTTGAAAATATCTTGTAAAATCGAGATTCAATGAGCAATTGCAGTTACAATTGTAAGTTTTTATGATTTTTCTTACCATAATCATTGTTATCGGCGCTATCCGACATATTCGGCGGAATAACAGTGTTCTTTATTGGGCAAGCTGAATATTCGGCCAAATAAAAATTTGACTGATATTCGGTGCATCTCTAGTTCCCGTACTTTCTTTTATTGCTTTTGCGGTAAGTTGCCGGGAACATACTTTTGCTTTACACAGGTAGCAGCTTGGGTTGCTCATTAGAATAAAAGATAGCTCGCACAATGGAAGTGTAATGATGTTCAAACATTAGACTATAGCAGAGGTGCGTCCACCTTCAATGATGTGGGTGGGACAAGGTTCTATGGTTTCATTTTCATAGACCGGACCGGAAATCGAACCCAGCCACCTCCAGCATAATCTTGCTATGTAGCTGCGCCTTTACCGATTGAGCTAAGGGAGGCCCCAACATGTTCTGGTTTGTAAATGCCTTGAAACTAAAAGCGGGCTGAAATGAATAAAAGTTTAAAAAAGTTAAAACCCATCATGTGACACATCAAATGACATGAGAATTCAAAAACCAGTCCAATGGTAGTAATATTCAGAGTACAGGACTATAATGGCCACACCCGGCTATGATCCGGGAATCCCCGGCCCCAGTTTCTAGCAGGGTCAAAATCCATCAGCGTTACCTCAAATCATACGAGATTTCATCTATCTTTTCTCATCGAATGAACACTTTAGTCGGACTTTCTATAAGTAAAGTGGTTCAGATTTTATCATTGGAGGATTCATTCAGTTTTTTAACTATGTTCTCTATTAAATCGTGGGTGGGACAAAGCTTTGACTGTCCCATCCAGGTATATTTGTGCGTAGGACATGTCCCACTTGTATCACCCACTCATCGCGCCTCTGGTATCTATTGACTATAATTGTACTTTCTAATTTCTAGTTAACGAGGAGCTACTATGTTTGGATGATTCTTTGATCAAAATACTTGCTTACCAACGGTTGCAACAAATACTGGCTCAAAGCAGCGAAGTGTTACAAAAACCATCATCCGAATTTTCGGCAAGGACTATCCGCGAATTAATGAAATCAGAGAAACCGGCAAAGTCAACTCCTCTGCCTAGTCAGTTGTTGACAAAAGATGATATTGAGCGTATAGCAAGAGAATTTACGAGTCCAAGAAGAGACTACAACGCAGCAGAGACCGTCAATGCTGCTGGAGTTGTTTCCCCGACCAAGGTAGAGCCAAAGGAAGAGAAGAAATCGCAGAAGGAACCGGAAACAAACGAACAGAAAATATTCCTGATGGCTCAAAATCTGGAAAAACACGTTAATAACATCGATATTCGTGTCCGCGCTGTAGTAACTCCAGTGGATGTCAATTTACCTGGCTGCAGCTGGTTTGAAACGCTGGATCTGTCACGTTCCGTCTTCATGCGATATCGCTCCCTGTCGATTGGAAGCGGACCAGGCAACGATCTACAACTTTCGAAGTTTGGTTCCTGCCGATTTGTTTCAGATAAACACGCTACTATATTCTATGACGAGGTTTGTAGTTTTCACATATCTACGTAACAAACAACATCGGCACACTATATTTTCTTTTCGTCTTTCAAAGGTAACAAAAATGTTCGAGTTATTAAACTATTCAGAATTTGGAACCGTAGTAAACGGTCAACTGTTCACGTGTGACTTTACTGACCACTCGCTTGATGTAAAGCCTGAACCTGATAGTGGCCATCATTCTTCGAAAAAATCGAAGAAAGATGAACATGACGATATCAACAAGGACAAAAGGATGGACAAACAAAAAATCCGCCAGGATATTATAAATCTGATTGACATGTCGCGGCAGTGCAAACGAAGAAATTACGATTTTCTCTCATCCACAAGGTAATCAAATTCAAATTGCGGCATTACCATAGTTTTTGCTTGATGGTATATTTCTTCTGCATGGAGGCGAACCAGCCTAAGGCTGAAAGCCTCCTAAATGAAGCTAAATAATAATAATAATAATATTTCTTCTGCAGCATGGCAGATATATCGCAGACTGGGTGCGATTGCACCAATCCAAATCCGAAAATTTCAGGATGGGAGGGCACAGCCATTCTTTACCAAGGAGCTGTTTTAAAGTTTGGATGCTTATCAGTTGTTTTCACCATCACTAACTATGATAACAATACAGAAGAATTTGACGACACAGACGGATCGTCAGAGGACGATGAAGGAGAAGAAAAATAGAAATAAGATTATCTCACATGTTTTTTTTTGTATTCAACAACATATTTAGTATCTAGTTCTAATGTATTTTTGTATATTGTTAACAGTAATAACTTTGAGCGTTTCCTAACGTTGCTTCTCATCCCATTTAATAACATTATCTTCGTATTAGATATTTTTTTGTACTTTATTAATAATACTGTTTTAATTGCATTTTTTTTAAAGTGCAAATAAATAGAGGATGTTTTCGCAGATGAACAAAGTTAGGTGACGTATTTTTGGCTTTTTGCGGTTAAGTGACATAATAACTATAATTCCAAGATACAACAATAAAAGTTAATACTAAAATTGATCTATTCTTTTTATCGTAGTTTTTTTTTTAGCCGTATTATTATCGAAAGGTCTGACCTTGGAGGATCCACCAAATGTTTGTCTAGGGTCGTATTAATTAACACAGACGTCAACATCAACGCAGCCCGATATTCTTGATCGGGATTTAATTCTAGGATATTAGAGCAGTTCCAAGAGAAGGTCCTGATAAAGCTGAAATTTGACACGAGCATTTCCGATTTAAATGAAACTTTGTCAATGTTTTCGACAGGAGGAAACATGAATTTTACACAGATTGTTCGGCCATTTTGGCTCAAGGGTCATTTTTTAAAAGGGTGTATGTGTTTTCATGAGTTGGGGAAAGTGAGGCAATATGGCCAATGGGTCAATGTGGCCACCCAGTTAAAAATGAACTTATTAAACATATTTTACAAAAAATCTGCTGCTGGCATAATGCTTGAAGCCTACTTGAACTATTAGTCTAGAACTAGAACTAGTCTAAAAAGTTACTTTTCTCTAGTGCAAATATTCTAAAAATGTAAGACTAGCTCAAAATGTCGAAACTGTTAAAAGATTTCTAGATCAGAAAATAAGGTCTATCAGTAGTTTCTTATAACTTATCGTTGATATTCCTTCAGCAGCTTTATAAATGGTAATTGAAATTCTTATATGACACGATGTTTAGGGTGCTCACTTTATCCCAACGGTTTAATTTCTGTTACAAAACAAAGCTTTTGGAAATCTTCTTTCATAACATTCAAAAGTTTACTTTTAAAATTCAATTTGTATTCATGATGTAAATAGGTCTTGATACTATCCATTTGGTTAAACATCATTCGAATTTTCCACTAAATTTCGTATTGATTGACCACATGGCAACACTACTACCAACAATCAATACGAAACTAATGATTTTAAATTGGCTCACCACTTTAGTAGCCTATTGGTCCCAAGCAAACGATTAACGTACCCTATTCTAGTTGAAATTCTATTACTACACTATGTTTGTTTTGATTCACTATGAAAGTTTGACAGATAACATCAGGGGTGTGTGGATTCATGCAGAACATGCAGGGGTGAGTGAAATAGCTTGGGACTGCTTGGGACCGTTGTTCTGGTACTGAGTGAGCCAAAAATAATAATGATTTTCTTCGGGACCCAGTGGTCTTAGAGTTACCTCTATGGTAGTAGCATAGAGGTAACTCTAAGACCACTGGGTCCCGAAGAAAATCATTATTATTTTTGGCTCACTCAGTACCAGAACAACGGTCCCAAGCAGTCCCAAGCTATTTCACTCACCCCTGCATGTTCTGCATGAATCCACACACCCCTGATGTTATCTGTCAAACTTTCATAGCGAATCAAAACAAACATAGTGTAGTAATAGAATTTCAACTAGAATAGGGTACGTTAATCGTTTGCTTGGGACCAATAGGCTACTAAAGTGGTGAGCCAATTTAAAATTTAAAACTAACCCATCTGGTGGATGATAGCACAAGCTTCCAAGAAAATTCTATTACAGTGAACCACATTATTTAAATAGATTTCTTCGCTAGTTAGTCGTCTGTCACTTCATTTGTGTTAATAGTATATGCGGTTACACCAACAATCAATACGAAACTAACGATTTTAAATTGGCTCACTACTTGACTAGGCTATTGGTCCCAAGCAAACGTTTAACGTATCCCATTGTAGTCGAAATTCTACTACTACACAATGTTTGTTTTGATTCGCTATGAAAGTTTGACAGATAAAATGAGGGGTTAGTGGATTTTCCTATGTTTCGAGGGGTGATTCGACTAGCTTGGGACCGAAGATAGTACCAGAGCTGAGCCAAAAAGTGGAGCACGTTTTTCCGGGACCTACTTGTCTTAGAGTTACCTCTATGGTTACACATGGCTTTTATCTGTACACATATTAAGTATGCGTCCGACACATAGATATCATTTGTTGATCACATTGCAAAAATTCATGTGTGGGACACATAAAAACAATATTTGAAATTTTATCAGTGATACATGTGTTTATGTTTGGAACCAATTTCATACAAGAATGATCAGCAGGCGGATTTGACAGCACGTCCCCCTCCAGTATCGACCAGCTTGGCAATTATTTTTACTGATATCTCAGCAAAAATTCTATTTGTTAGTTGAGATCTCATGTCATTTTCGTTTTTGCGGCAGTTTTTGACAGCTCAACATCATTTGTTTGTAAACAAAGGTGCAATCTACACCCTAAAATATTCCGGTTTACGGCAGTGTAGCCATAGAGGTAACTCTAAGACTAGAAGGTCCCGAAATAATGTGCTCAACTTTTTGGCTCAGCTCTGGTACTCTCTTCGGTCCCAAGCTAATCGATTCACCCCTCGAAACATAAGAAAAACCAATAACCCCTCATTTTATCTGTCAAACTTTCATAGCTAATCAAAACAAACATTGCGTAGTACTAGAATTTCGACTAGTATCAACAATCAATACGAAACTAACGATTTTAAATTGGCTCACCACTTTAGTAGCCTATTGGTCCCAAGCAAACGATTAACGTACCCTATTCTAGTCGAAATTCTAGTACTACGCAATGTTTGTTTTGATTCGCTATGAAAGTTTGACAGATAAAATGAGAGGTTATTGGTTTTTCCTATGTTTCGAGGGGTGATTCGACAAGCTTGGGACCGAAGATAGTACCAGAGGTGAGCCAAAAAATTGAGCACGTTTCTTTGGGACCTACTTGTCTTAGAGTTACCTCTATGCTAGTATGGGGTACGTTAATCGTTTGCTTGGGACCAATAGGCTAGTTAAGTAGTGAGCCAATTTAAAATCGTTAGTTTCGTATTGATTGTTGGTGTAGCGCCGGTGTAGCTACACCGCAAAAACGAAAACGACATCAGTAAAATTTTGGTTTGTTAGATGAATCTCGGCAAGTTTTCATTGAGTTCCAGTCAAATAAAATGCCGAGCTAGTCGGCGGTGTCAATCTCGGCAAAAAAACCAAGTGTGTAAACAATGTATGTAGATGTGGCCGGAACATTTTCCGGTTTGTATGAGCCATCTGAGACTAAATCCGACATGAAACGAATAAAATCCATTATGTGACGCATAATCAAATGACATGAGCATTCAAAACCCAGTTCAATTGTAGCCATTTTGTGTGATCAGGACCACACTGGCTACATCTTGGCATGTTCCGAGAAAGTGACCAGTTTCTGACTAGGTAATCTAGTAAATCAGTTGACAAAACATAATGAATATCTAAATTATGTTCAATCTTCTTATTCTATTTACAAATTGAGGCGTCAATATACCAAAATCGAACGCGGATTCAACCGATGCAAACAAAGGAACTACTGGAGATATAGGCTGGTTATAACCATACAGAGTACGATGAAATCCCGGCTGCATCAGGGATCGCTGACGTAAATAATATACTACCTGAAGCACGGAAGTCAATTAGCGATAGAAGATAGGAGCAAACATATTCAATCTTGATCGCGATGATGAAACGCATACACCCGAAAAATTACCCGGAATCCATCCACAAAATGTTTAGCTCAAAAAGCTCTTTCCAAACATTTTCCCTTCAGCTAATATTCCATCAAATTATATATTTTTGCGTTGCTAGCACTTTCATTACCGCTGCCATCTTCCGGTCATTCAGTCCAATCAAGCTCAAGCACTGCATCACAGAACAGATAGGTAACTCAGAACAAACGGTTTCATCTGAAACTGAGCTCATGCTTTTCATGTAATTTTTGCTATTCCTTTCTATTTTCATTTCGCAGTGCACATCAGAGCTGCCAGGTGGTTTTATAAAAAATCTGTATCCACTCTATTAAAAAATCTGTATTTTCTGTATTGACGATTTTTTTCTTAATTAATCATGTTTTGTTGTTTTACAAATACAGTGCATACAAAATAACCATAAAAAGTGCTTAACCACCTATTCGGGCTATCGTACTAACCATACGGGATATAATTGCGCCATTTGTGATATCTTTTTTTTTTTTTTTAATTCTTTATTTAAGAGATTTTTAGTCTTAGGCTAGTTCATCTCTAGATTTGTGATATCGTCCGTACTTATTTATAAGAGTGATATGAAGCCGTTTGAAAATGTATGGAGATTTTAGTTTCTATTCATTATCTTCCTGATAAGCAGTTTTAAATGCAAAAAAGTGCACGAGTTCATTACTATTTGATATTTTTAATATAGATGAATACAATTAATTACATCATTTGTGTGGTAGTTACACCGAAAAGTCGAGAGATGTCGCCCCGCCTGTGCTGGTAAAATCATTTTTGCAGTATGGAGAATATCAGAAAATCCGCAATTTCTTACGAAATACATTTTCAATGCAAGTAAAATGTTTACGAGTACTTGTATTTGTACCATTTTAATGTGCTCGGGCACTTTTCTTGTATTTAACATACATGCTTATATTGGAAATATTCAATTAATATTGTAAATCTCCATACAATCTCAAATCGTTTACTACCAGCTCCATATGCATCCGAAAGCGGTTGGTTCTCTGGTTGTGAATGCTGTCAAAAACACCATAACATGATTAATTGTCGATGGAAATTTGATAGGCTCCCGAGCAGAGGGTGAGAACAAAATAAAAACAAGAATTATGTTGTTTTCATTATTCCTGATAACTCAAATTGATTTCATTTTGATGTAGTTGATGGCTAACAGAACAAAAATGAGAGCTAAAAGATATGCGAAGAATATCAAAATTATAACATATATTGATATAAGTGAGAACTGCGACAAGGCGCCACTGAGTTGCCTATATCGAGTGTAGTGTCCCACTAACTGCTACCAGGAGGACTGAAAGAACAAAAGAGACGGCATGTTACTATATGCTACATGACTGATAAGCTCGTATTCGCTTTCCCTCTCATAAATCGTAAACAATGGGGTCATCCGTCGTGAATGGAACGATTTTTTTCTACGACGAAATGCATTATGATTTCA